AATTAGAATAATGTGATTTATTATATATAGTATTTGAGATCATTTTAAAAGTTACTCAAAGTAAAATATAAATAAAAGTAATCATGAAGGTAATTTTATATTTAAATATTAATATCATAAGAATAAGGATAAATCATCTTTAAGAGAAAATGAAAAAGTACCTCTAATCATCTATTAGTGTAAAAGTATCTAGTATATATGTAAGCAATATTATTATTTCTGATTTTTCAAATTATTGGCAATACTAAGTCGTTTTTCGTAATGAATTAGTAATATAAATACGTGTAATTTTCTTGAAACAAACAGCAGTTGAAAAGTAAGGTATTTTAAGATTTTAATGCGTTTTTAATAAATCTGGAGGAACTACTGGGAATATTGCATTCATAGGCCTATAAGGCCGCAGATGCACTCGCCGAGGATATGCATTAATGTGATTATAATGAGGACACCACTATATAGAAATATATACATATACTATTATACCTATATATATATATATATATATATATATATATGTAGTATGTACACGTAATATATATAGTGACAATACTGCTCCGAAACGGCTTGACCGATCTTTATGAAGTTTTACAATTACGTTCAGTATGATTGAGAATAGGACAACACCTATTTTTCATACCCCTGAGTAGTACCATAATCGTTGGCAAACCCCTAATTTTTTTTTATTATACAGACCAACTTATTTCATTTCATTTTTTTATAATTCGTAAGCAACTAAATAACATGCAGCCCTAAATGTTTACCCACCTAGCCCTATTTTGTAAAAACATTTTAGCAATCAAATAATGATACATCCCACGTACAGTTAATGAATATTTTTGACTTAATTCTAGTTCAGATTTTTTGAGCTTAAGTTAAAGCTTATATTAAACAATTAACTTTATCACGAATTGTCCAACCCTAAAACTTTTTTTTAAATTTTCGGATCATTTGGGTATTTATTTTTTTACCGTTTCTTTTAGTATTAAACCAACGAAAATGTTTTTGACTTAATATCTGTTCAGATTTTTTGAGTTTGAGAAAAACCTCAAATTTTACTTAAAAATAATTTATTTCCTATCAGGGGTTGTCCAACACTAACACTTTTTTAGTTTTAGGATCAATTGGGTTTTTATTTTTTACTCGATTTTTTAGTATCAAACTAACAAGAATGGCAATTTCCGAGGCATTAAAGCATTTTTTAAAGAGATCAAATTCAAAATTTACAAATGTTTTAAATACATGAATACATAAATTTTAATAAATAGTCTTAATTCTAGAACACTTAGTGCAATTGTGTGATTATTTTTGACAGTGGTCCTAGAAGTGCTCATTGAGGTTACTGTTCCAAAGTTTAAATTATAAAAAATAATGAAAATTAAAAAAAAAACAAAAAATGGCTACAGTTCGACCAGAGCTCTAGATGATTGATTTAAAAATTAAATCCATATTTTAATAAATAGTTTTAATTCTAGAAAACTTGGTGCAATTGGTGCAAAACCAAATTTGGCTACAATTTGACCAAAACTAGTTTTGGCTTAAAAGTTTACAAATTTCAAACTGTAAGAGATTTTTTTTCTAATTTTTATCAAGATAGTTACAATCAAAATTGTCACATACATACTTTTACTAACCGAAATGTTATACATAAATATATAAAATATAGTTTTTATTTATATAGATAGTTTTTGGTTTTGAGCTCAGCTGCTTTTAAGCAATAATAATGTTGACATTACATTTTCCTTGTATATTATATTCTAATATTATCTAGACTCATAATTTCACCTAAATTCAAATTTTAAGTGAATTGACAATTCTAGCAGATAACAGCTCAAATGTTTCCAATGTCAAACACTGATAATATATAAGGTTTGCCATTTATTTCTACAATATTACTATATTTTTATAATCACATACATCCTAAAAAAATCCCTTAACAAACTTTAGAAAGTTTTATCAAAATCCGAATAATCGTTCAGGGGGAGCATATTTACATACAACATTACAGAAGAATTTTATATATAAGATATATATATATATATATATATATATATATATATTGTACTAAATAAAATCTGAAGAATAAAATATTGTAGAAATATATTTGAAAGCTTATACCATCATAAATTATGTATAAAAATATTCAAAGCGTTATAAAATGTTTTATGACAACTAATAAAATGAGCATCTATTGTCCTCGTGGAAATATATATATGTATATATATATATATATATATATATATATATATACATTAATATATATATCTTGATATACAGGAATAATTTTCCAACATATGTTTCCACCAGTCTATCTATATATTCTCAAAATGTAAATACATTTAATGTAAAATGAAACAAACATCGGTCGCCTAGTATATATATATATATATATATATATATATATATACAAGTTGATAAATGCTATGACGTGTTTTAGGGGTACAAATAATGAACTCCGGCAGGGATGTCACCGACAGATACAGGGAATACCTCCTGCACCTTCCGACCTACGACCTAAGTGGCTACACTTGCAGCCCCGAACTATTTTGCCCACCCCTCCGTAGGGTTGGGTAAAATTCGCCCCCGCATTCGCCCCAAAATAAATAGAAGAATCAGAGAAATAGAGAGAATTTCGAAATAAAATAAATATGTCAAATTGGGCGCGTGGAAGATAATACAACTAAATGACATGTTTCTACGAAGAATTGAGGAAAAGTTTATTATTTGTGGCAGATGTAATAAGAGGTTTAATTTTTTGACTTTGGATTCTTTAAGGACAATATTGTTATAATATTTTTGTTCTAATAATTTTTATATAAAATTATATGTCACATCGCATATTTCTAGTGTTTACATAAAAATTAAACTTTTTCAGATACAGAAAAAAACTTAAAAAAAAAAACAAGATTTCAACTATAAAAGACACGAAGAAGTAAAAAGCTATTTACCAAATAAATTGAAAAAAATATGCATCGTTCATCTATTTTGCCCACCCCTCCGTAGGGTTTGGGTAAAATTCGCCCCCGCATTCGCCCCAAATAAATAGAAGAATAGAGAAATAGAGAGAATTTCGAATTAAAATAAATATGTCAAATTGGGCGCGTGGAAGATAATACAACTAAATGACATGTTTCTACGAAGAATTGAGGAAAAGTTTATTATTTGTGGCAGATGTAATAAGAGGTTTATTTTTTTGACTTTGGATTCTTTAAGGACAATATTGTTATAATATTTTTGTTCTAATAATTTTTATATAAAATTATATGTCACATCGCATATTTCTAGTGTTTACATAAAAATTAAACTTTTTCAGATACAGAAAAAAACTTAAAAAAAAAAACAAGATTTCAACTATAAAAGACACGAAGAAGTAAAAAGCTATTTACCAAATAAATTGAAAAAAATATGCATCGTTCATGGAACGGAATAAAAATTAACTAGGTGTAAGTGGCATTTTGCCTCAAGGCAAGTGCCAGAAATTTTCCGATATGTGTAAATAATCATTAAATATTCAAATTGTAATTTGATCTACTTGTCTAACAGCTTCTTTGTATACCTGTCTAAGTGACCACCTGTCTACTTTGTCTACCTGTCTACTCTTTCACCCCTTCTACTTATCTGTCTATCTTCTTATTTACAAAAAATGCAATACAATAAATACAAAATAAATTGAAAAAATTGTGAAAAATTAAAAACTAACTGTAAGTTCCATTTTTCCCCGAGACCAATTGCATACATTCTCGATATGTGTAAATAAACAATTAAAACAATAGATAATTGAATTGTATATGATCTAACTTGTCTAAGTACCTTCATCTACTGTTCTATTATCTGTGTCTATTTTATCTACCTTTCTACCCTGTCACTCTGCCTACCTTACTGTCTGTCTATCTTCCTATTGGTCTATTTGTCTACCTGTCCATTTTTCTACTTTTCCACTTGTCCACCTGTCTATGACAGTTGAGTATCAATATTTATACATGTATAGTCTACTTGTTTACCTGTCTAGAATCTTTGCCTACCAGTCTATTTTATCTACCTCTCAATTCTATCACCCTGTCTACCTATATATCTGCCTAGTCTCGTTGTCTATCTGTCTACTTGTCCACTCATCTATCTGTCCACCTGTCTACCTGTCGTGTGAGTATCAATATTTTTACATGTATACATCGTCTACGTGACTACTTTATCTAGCTCTCTACCATGTCACCCTGTCTACCTATCTATCTGCCTATCTTCCTATTTGTCGCCTTGTCTACCTTTCTACTTGTCCATCTGTCTATATAATTTGTAATGATAACTTCAGACTACCACCATTTTTTAAACTTTTTTGTAACTCCGAAATTGCTAGACTTGCCTTTGAAAAAATATAATCAATGTTTCACTTCGTCAATACAAGTAAAATGTTGTTTGAATCATTGCAAGTCTAAACATATCAAAAATATTTTTTGTTTTTCGGTTTTGGAAAAAATTATAAATGACTGACATCAATATTTTAGGAAATAACACTCTGAAAATGCCGCATACGCCATTTATGAAAAAGTTTTAGTCTGTTTTGTTTTTGAGACTAAAACCAAAGGAATTGATATACTATATGAGGTATGAAAGAAAATTTAAAACTTTATGGCTTATAAACTTGACCTTCAAAAAAAACTATAATACTGAATATCATTCAGTAATAAATATAACGTAAAATATTCACCACAAAATATAAAAAAATGCCTAAAAAAATAACTATTGATTAAGTTTTCTGGATATTATAGATGATTTTTATACGGTTTCAAAAATCTTAAAAATTATCAAACATTGATACAAGTTGTGCTATCACATTTGTGTGAATTACAAAAAAAAACTAACAAAACACTGTCTTTACTCTTTACTCAAAAAATAATGACAAGTATTCCTTTCGCTCTCATAATATTTAGGTACTGCTAATAACATAGTTTTGCAATAATATAAATAATATTTTTGAAATGTTTAAAAAAATTCAATAAAAAGCTCACCTGTAAAAAAGTGTCCCCGTCTAAGGCTGCGTGCTCGTACGTCGTGAGGTCTCTGTTCCGAAAACTTGGCTCTTGCAGGTTATGACAGTGCGTCAACATACCCCCGTGTGGGTCCTCTTTGTCTTTGTGCATTACAACTGAAAAAAAAAGAAATAATTAATATAAAAAATAAATAAACAGGCAAAATGTACCTTTTAGATACAATATTATGTACTAATGGTTAAATGATACTTTGATACTTCTCTTAAACGGTTATTCGGATTTTGATAATTCTTTTTAGAATTTGTTAAAGGAAATTTTCAAGATTTAATGAACGATAAAAACTATAGTAATATTTTAGAAATAAATGGCAAAAATTACAAAAAAACACTTATGATTGTTTGACATTGAAAACATTTAAACTGTCATTTGCTCGAAATGTCAATTCACTTGAAATTTGAATTTAGCTGAAATTATGAGCCTAGATAATATTAGATTATAATATTCAAGAAAAATGTAATGTCTTCATTACTATTGCCGAAAAGCAGCTGAGATGTGCCAGAAATTAAAATAATATAAGATACAGTCAACAGTATATGTTTGACAGATGAAATTATATAATTCATTTTAATAAATAATGCAACACCAAATTGCATATACATTATTTTTTTAAACTTATGCATGTCGCATTTTGGTTTACTTTACTGAATTACTTAACAATACAAAAAATATTTCTACTTATTAAAAAAATGATTTAGAATTTTGTTTCGTGTGTCAAAAATTCATTTGTTTGGCATTGGATATGGAATATTTAGCAAGTAGATTGAAGAGTGCTCATACGAACTGGATTTTATAAATAAGTTCACCTAAGATTTGAACATAAACAATATTGTTTATTAAATTATTAGTAAGAAAAATGTACTTTAGAAATTATAGTTGCCAAAAAGCAACTAATATATGGTACGAGATTATGAAAATTATAGACTGAATTATTGAAGTGCATAATTGTGTTGTGTGGTAAAATCAAGTGTGATATTGTTCTTTTACCGCAGATACTATATTATTATTTTTTTCTAAATTTCTAATACTGCTTATGCTAAGACCATAAATGAAGCACAAAGGCAGGACATCAAATAGGATATTAAAAAGTATAGGATAGGATATTAAAAAATTTAGAACTTTTGAATTGTAGATGTGGTACAGGACAACGTTTGTCGGGTCACCTAATATATATATATATATATATATATACATATACATATATATATATAAATATATATATATACATATATATATATATATATATATAATAATATATTATATATATATATATGCTACGTAACTTTCATTTTTCCTTATCTAGGGTAATATTTCAGAGAAAGATAAAATATATTACGACATTTTCCGCATTTAAAGCGCCCTATTATAATTCAGGATTAAGGGTGTGTAGTTTTGTATTTCACTAGAATTTCAGGCTGTTCGTCCCCATTCTCGTTTGTCGCCGGGGTTGTAATTTTTAATGTTCATATTTTTTTCATCAAGGACGATAAAAACTCACGACAGAAACGATTGTGAAAGTTGATAATAAAAATAACAAACAATATGGTAGGTACGATGATAACATTGCACTAACACTGAATTTAATAATAAATACTTTGGATAGTTTAAATATTTTAATTCAAATATGAGTTAGTACTTCCTCGTGGATTAGTCCATGACCTCTAATCCATGATGGAGTCCAATAGGCTTTCAATCAGAAGTTTCAGGTTGGATACCCGCCTTAGACAACCTGATGTCAAGCAGTAGTGACATCGGTTTTTACATGAAAATATAGATAGCAAAATGTTTCCGAGTGAAAATAGCCCTTTCTCGACATTGGTGCATCAATAAAAAAATATCATCACTACTTAGAAATATTTCTTTATTTTTTATCATATGTATAGTAATGTCCACACCTGTCCCGAAACAGACAAGTAAAACTGTAGAAAACTAGTAGTGTATGGCATCGTGTCTTAAGGCAAATTGCTGGTACTTCCCGTACTTTAATGAAATATTTGAGGAATATTAAATGTTTTCAAATAGATTATTATAATTAATGTAATTTTCATTATTGTTATTTTATAACAAGTTTTTTAAATCATTCAAATCGGATGCTTAATTCCGTCAAAAACTTATTTTTTGCACATTTAGCTTTATATCTCCGAAACGACCAGACCTGCCTTTGCCAAAAACTAACCACCACTTCTCCCCATCATTACGAATCGAATGTTGTTTGGATCATTCAAATCGGTTGATCTGTTCTCATAAAAACTGACAGTTTTAGCACCTTTTGCTCCATATCTCCGAAACCACTGGACCTATCTTCGTCTAAAACTAACCAGCACGTCTCCTCATCAATAGGATTCTAATGTTTTTTGAATCATTCAAATCGGTTAACCCGTACGCCAGAAATCGTCAACAAAAAATGTCTCCACACATACACACACAAACATCCATTTTTTTCTCAGGTATGCAAAATGTTCAGAAACCTCTGAAACGTGAAAATCTGCAAATTTTAATCTCACATCAAATTATAATTTCATCGGCTAAAGATAGTTGCAAGCAAATTTTCCATTACATATTTGAAGAAAAATTTAAATTTAAATTGAGCATAAACTTTGATATCTGTTTTCTTTGTTTATTATATATATATATATATATATATATATATATATAATCTGTATGTATAAGTAATGATTTCTAAGAATTGAATCTTCATTCATTATTACAGCGATCTTTCAGAAATCAAAACTATTAAAATATCATCAACTGACGTCATCATATTTATATTAATAACAGATTAGTGAAATTATATATATATATATATTATATATATATATATATATATATCTATATACACATAAACATATATACATCTATGCATAACGAAGGATTTGAACCAGATACTCAAATTAAAAGCACTAATCATTTAACAATCAAATTTGTTGAACCATATATTTAGTTTAATAATCATTATAATTATCAGTTATATTTATAATTCACTTTTAGAAAAATTAAATAATTTTGGCTATGATTTAATAGTTTAAACATAGATGCAAATAAAACTAGAATATTTTGCCGTGAGGCAAAATGGACTTAATCAATAAGAAATGATATTAAGAAACTCTTGTGACTACAAAATTTTCGACTGTTTTCTTATGGAAAATAATAAATAAATTAGTTCATTATTTGTCCTAAGTCCACAACCCATTATTCTAAACTTCAATAAATATTTTAGCTTGTTTGTTTTTCAAACTCTATCATCATTCAAAACTTCATCAAAATAGTATAATTCCGAAGAAACGACCCAACCGATCTTAAACAAAAACCAGTTAGTACAATTCCCAAACAATATCTTTGGAATAGTTATTGATTTTTCGAAACTGAATCAGAAATTTTTACGAAAAATATTGTCTTGAAAAATTAACCAATGCGAGTGTTTATTGAGTTTCATCAAATGGCTTTTAAATTTTTAAAATCCATACAGCCGTTTTAGAGAAACGTCGACGAAAATCAATTTTTGGTTCATACATACACATTACATAGAATTTAATTTAATTTGTATATCAATTAGTCTTACTTGATTAAACCTATCTTGGGTTTATGGTTCCTTCTACCATATAAATCATAAATATAATCCATAATCGTAATAATTATTTAACTACGTGTAGTGATAAATTTTATATTAAGCTTGTCAAGTGCTCGAACTGATTTAGAAATTAATAAAAACACAAAAGCGTTTCACTTAGTACTTTTATTATGTAAAAGGTCTGCGGGCTATCCCTTTTTACTATTATTTTCCGTAATAATTCTATTATACACCCTTAATGTAACAAAAGCGCCAATCCGCATACAATTCAAATTTAACAAAATTCAAAGTCATCGTGACTTTGCTAGAAGTGAAAACGTAGGCTTCGTCCACACTATCAACGAAAATAAAAACTTGCTGGTATTGTTATTTTGCCTTGTGGCAAGTTACATAAACTTCGTGATATGTGTAAATAATCGACTTAATCAATAAAAAATAAATTAATTTACGAGTGATTAAAAGTATTCCGAGTGGATTTATTACACATACTTGAAAACGAACGAACACGTTAACTCGGAGTATTTTCTAAAAGCAAATTTTCACAAATCAACAATTTTTATAATTGAACCATTTTCCGTAGGACTTTAAAGTTCATTAAGATCGTTATATGTCAAGTAAATCGTCTAATTTTGATTTTAAAAAACGTCAAAAAAACTACTCATTTTCGCAAACTTTGATGAATTTTTAAAATTAAACTACTTGTCGTAAGGCCGTAATATTTTAGTAAGTTCTATAAGACCATGGTATATATCGCCAAAAAAAGTTCCATGAAAATCGACTTAAATTTTTTTTCAACAGTTAATTACAAGAAAACGTCTCGATAGATTTTCACCTAAAATTAATCAGTATCATTCCCAACTAATATCCTTCGAAGAGTTTTTGATTTTTCAATCAATTCGGTAGTATGAGATTAAATGTGGACAAAAAGTTTAACATTTTTTCCAAATTAGAGAGAAACGGCTCGGCTAATCGTCGCACAAAACTGAGAAACGAAAATCCTCATCATATGAATAACAACAGATACTTTTTACAAATTTGGTCTCATTCGATTCAGAATGGCTTGAAACGTCGAAAAAACAAAAAATTAGCGAATCGGATTTTTTTATGAAAACAAACTCCTCCTTCGGGAAGCTAATAAAAACTAGTGGTGCATGGCATCGTACTTTAGGGCAAATTGCTGGAACTTCCTGTAGCGAAAACTAAATTATTAAAAAAATCTTTGCAAAACTTTGGAAAAATTAAATTTTTGAGAAATTTTGAAATATTTTAAAAAAATTGACTTTTTTGAAAAGTTGCTTTTATTTTACATTTTGTTTTTTTGTAAGCAATCGCGCTGCATAGTTGATTTGAGGTCGAAATATCAAAGCGCGCAAGCGCCGCGTAGTCGTCTAATGTGTAGAAATTGGCATGGAACCCATAAAAATGTACACTTAATGTACACAAATGTACTTATTATCATTATCTTTATAAAATATCTGATAATACGAAGTGCATGTGCCCAATGAACATTTTTGACCGCCAAATGACACTTTTT